AGGACGTCCCCCTTGAAAGACCCTTTTGAAAAAGGCAGACACTTCGCAAACCTACGGATTCAGCCGCCAGATTATAAATGATTTCCTGTTGTCACAGGACCCGAAACAGAGACAACCAGAACCCTTTTTGCATGTTTCTGGCCAGAAGCGTGACGTTTCCGGCCAGCTTAAACAAGCGCGGCTACGCCAACGGCCAGGGCTGAGGACCACAACGCGAGACCTCTCCTACCCGTACCAGCCACCGCGGTCCTGTCGCTTTGCCGCGGCACAAAGGATGTTCGGAGCAGCGGCGGCCACGTCACCTCCTCTTTTAAGGCTTGAGATCAGATCCTGCTTTTGCAAACGACGCCCCAGACAGGACAGCAACCACCGGAGGGGAACGAGAGGCAGGACCCTGGGGTCCGCTCCCCCATCACTTCTTGCCTGGGCAAATCACTTCATCACACCACGGGGTGGAGACCGAGGGGGGTGATGCAGCCTGCAGCTCCTATGGCAAAGAGGACGGAGCTGGGCTGGTCTCAGTGGGGGCAGACAACAGGACAAGGAGCAATGGGCTCCAGCTGCAGCAAGGGAAGTCGAGGCTGGATATTAGGAGGAAACATCTTACAAGGAGAGTAGTAAAATATTGGAGCAGGTCACCCAGAGAGGTGGGGGAGTCTCCATCCTTGGAGGTTTTCAAGACCTGGGTAGACAAAGCCTTGTCTGGGATGCTGTAGTTGGGGCTGGTGCTGCTTGTAGCAGGGGCTGGACTAGATGTGACCTCCTGAGCTCCCTTCCACCCTCGTGGTCTATGATTTTATGTCTCCATTCTGTGGTCTGTAAAACGGGTTGAAGACTCTCCGACCTCATCAAAGTGCAATCTTAGTTTCCCCTTGGGCCGACGTTCAGAGAGGAGCCACTCGAGCAGCAACCGCGACACCAGGGACGGTCTCCAGACTGCCCCCCCCACGCAGACGCTCACCTGGGCCCCCTGCAACCGGGGACCCCCCACACCCCCCATGGGCTGGGCTGGGCTGGGCTGCCTCCTAACCAGGTTTCTAGCCCGGTCCGGAAGATTTGAGGATAACGAGCGTGGCTTTGGGCTCGTCCCACCTTTGCGGCAGGGCACTGACTGCAGCCGTACACAGGGGAGCAGGGACGGGAACAGCCCCCGCGCTTGGTGCAGGACAGGCGCCCAGGTGGGTTAGACCACTACGATGGGGGGCACCCACTGGAGCACATATGGGACAGACCATTACAAATGGAGAAGGAGGACTTGTAACTATCTGGACACCACATGGGACAGACCATTACAATGGGGGGCTTGCACCCACCTAGACACCACATGGGACACACCATTACAATGGGGGGGACTTACACCCACCTGAGCCCATATGGGAAAGACCATTGCAATGGGGGGGGGTTGCACCTACCTAGGCACCACATGGGACAGACCATTACACTGAGGGGGCACACCCCTTCAGGGCTCCACACGGGCTAAACCACTGTCACAGCGGGGAGGGGGGGCACACACAGGGCTCCACGCGGGCTGGAACGAGCAGCCCCCGCCCGGGGCACCAGGACCCCGCTCCTCCCCCCGCGCGACACCCCCTCCTACCTGAGCGCGCCGCGCCGCTGCCCATTGCCGCCCAGCTCCGCCGCGCATGCGCGCTCGGCTCCGCCCCCGCCTTGTGCCGGCAGGGGGCAGGGAAACCCCATCTGACGTGAGCGAGCGGCCATCTTGAGCAGGGGCAGACCGCACCCGCCTCAGCCCCCCTGGGCAGCCATCTTGTGTGAGGGCAGCTGGGGGCAAACGGGGTCTCCGCGCGCAGCACCACTGGCAGCCAATCAGAGAGCTTTCTCCGTGGTCGATTTACATAGCCGCACCCCTCGTCCTGAGCCTGTCTAGCACCGCCCTCCCTCTCTATGACCCAGGCTGGCCCTTGGCCTAGGGGAATCCCCCGTCACCATGGAAACAGCCCAAGAAAGTACCCGCCCCCCGCCCCCCGAGGGACCGTGTAGTGCCCAGGAGGGTGCATATTCCCCCTCCCAGTTGTGGTGGTCTATCCCATGTAGTGCTTCCCCCCCCACATTGCAATGGTCTGGCCCATGTACTGCCCAGATGGGTGCAGGTCCCCCCTATTGCAATGGTCTAGCCCATAAAGTGCCCAAGAGGATGCTTCCCCCCCCCCGTTGTGGTGGTCTATCCCATGCAGAGCCCAGTGAGTGCACCCCCTCCCCCCTACAATGCAATGGTCTGTCCCATGTACTGCCCAGATGGGTGCACCCCCCCACAATGCAATGGTCTATCCCATATAATGTCCAGAAGGGTGCATACCCCCCCCAGTTGTGGTGGTCTATGCCATGCAGAGCCCAGTGAGTGCACCCCCTCCCCCCTACAATGCAATGGTCTATCCCATGCAGAACCCAGTGAGTGCACCCCCCGCACAATGCAATGGTCTAGCCCATATAGTGCCCAGAAGGGTGCATACCCCCCCAGTTGTGGTGGTCTATCCCACGCAGAGCCCAGTGAGTGCACCCCCCCCACAATGCAATGGTCTATCCCATACAGTGCCCAGTGAGTGCACCCCCCCCCCCACAATGCAATGGTCTATCCCATACAGAGCCCAGGAGGGTGCAGCCCCCAGTTGTGGTGGTCTATCCCATGCAGTGCCCATTGCAGCGCACTGCGCGGGTGGGTGCATGCGTTGCCCCCGCGTGCCCCCCGCTAGGGCAGCGTGGGGCCCGAATAGGGCTCAGCCCCCTCCGCGTTATAACGGGGAAGGGGACTCGCTCGCCTGGAGGCCGACCTTCAGGGGTTGCATGAAAAGAAAGCAGCCCTCCCCTCCCCAAAAACCAGACTTTCAAAATAATAAAAAGCAAACATTAGGAAATCTGGAACGGGATTCAGGCGCCCACCAGCACGGCGCTGCTTTCGACCGCCCGGTGCACACCCGCTCTGCAACCGTACTTCCATTTTTAATGGAAAAAGCCCAAATAGCACTTGTCATTCAGTGCCCCCCTGGCACCCTTTTAAGGCTGGATAGTCACTATATATTTCCCACGACACTAAAAGCGGACAAAATGCTGCGCTTCGGCCACGATGCTGTTGGGACGCAGATATGATTTCTGACCGGGATAACTTAAAACACAAGCGCGTTTTCTTCCTAGGCACTTCTGGTTTTAATGCCCCCAGACAACACTTGGGCTAACTACCTATTTAATGAGCATTGACACAGGCAGGTGAGGAAGGAAGCTCTAATTGCTGTTTGCAGAGGGCTTTGAGGGTTTTAAAACGGAGCAATCTGCTTTCCATCCGGTGCCTCTCAAAGAAGCATCACCTCGTTTTATTATCTTCTGACATTTTATGGAGATTACCAGCGTGGTCTAATTGAAAGGCTCCTTCTATCAAGCCGCTGACCACAAAAACTCAGGGAGGATTTGCAGTCAAGAGCATAATTGCAGCTTTTATAATTACAGATTGAGTTACAGGCAGGTAACATCCGATCTGGAGATCACCTGCGCTGTTAGAGAGTCGTTTCAGGTAAACAGCAGCGGTCGTTAGCATCATTGGCATAATTGTGAATGTAAAAAAAATAGCAAGGTTGAAGCAGAACAGGACCCTAGCTATCAAAAGAATATATTCTGTAACAGTAGTCACGAATGTAAAGGAATATATTGACTTTCCTGCTTGATTCGTACATTTTAAATAACTGCTGGTATCAAATTGGTTACAAGACTAATTTCTAAACAGTCGGGATGGCTGTATAGTATTACAGGTGTGCACAATAGCGACTGACGTGTGTAACTGCAGGCTTCGTTAGTTAATTGTAGCCATTTGAAGTCTCATGGTGATTACAAATAGTACCCGGGCTTTTGTAGTTATTGATTCTGAACAAAATCCAGGGGAGTGGATCTGTTCTTCAAAGCAGTAAGTGGTAATTAATCCCTCCTAATTTCTATTGAACCTATTTGCTTTCAGGGGGTGGATGATGCTGCCTGCTTTAGGGAGGAATCAGAGTTTGGAAATATACTTTTAAAAGCTGCTTATTTTAAAGAGAATTCATGTATTTTTGTCTAGGATACTTTTCCCCATTACATTTTAATAGCTCTGTTTTTCCTTTCTGCATTGCAGCTACATTAAGAGCCAAATAGTGCTTCTCTTGTAGTTTTAATTAAGGTTGACCATCACTAGTCAGCTAGTTTCTCTAGCTCTTTATGATTTCCATTTTTTTATGTAACTTTACACAGCTTTTCCATATTATTTCCTGCCCCCTTCCCATTTGCTATTAACTGTTTGAGCGTGTTTTTTAGAAACCCCAGTTATTGGTAAAGTACTACTTAACTTCTGTAAGCATAGCTATAATGGTTTAGTTCACACCTAATGGTCTCTTAAGCTGGTAAGTGCACTCAAGGTATGATGGAGAGAGGTGTTGGGAGCAGAGGTCTGATTTAAAGACTGGACTCGTGAAGCTGCTGCTCACTTTTTTTAATATAAGTGAATAAGGTACCCAATTCTTCCTTTTCAGACTGAGGGTACCGGCAGTGTCTAATATCGGCTTGCAGTTGCTGTGGCTAAACTCCTCTACCTGGGGAAAGTGTTACCAGTTCTAGTGGCATCCTTATACTGGTATTAGTGGCATCCTTATACTGGTATTAGCTAAACTGACAGACTTCTACAGCAGTGAAACCCTTCTTGCCGCCACTCTGCATTCATGTGGCTTATTCTAGGTTTAGCTTAAACCCTTTCCACAGCAACTTCAGCTATAAATACATTTTTTTTTAAACAGCCATTATTATCCCACAACAAGTGCTTCAACATATGAGCAAGGCTATTCTGGTTCAAATTCATGTATTCTCTTATAGCTTACCTGTGCAGACAGTCCCTAATCCTGAAGCTATCCAGAACTTGGATATGGATATGCCACTCTTACATTGCAGTGGGCCCCAAATTTATATTTTATATATTTATATTTGGGGCCCACTGCAATGAAACAGTGGCATATCATATATATATATATATATATATATATATATATAACTCTGTGTGTGCGTTAAACAGAGAGAGCCTTCTACAGTCCTGGTTCTCAAAACATTTGTATGAATAACCCATGAAAGTCACTGGGATTACTCCAACATACAATTATACGCATCCCTGATTGTTTGTAGCATCAGACCGCTCCAAGAGGAAAGCAGAAAGATTATTTAAAAAAACAAAATAAAGAATCATGTCTCGGAAGTAGCATTTAATGCACCTTTTTAATATGACTATAGAGGAGTGAGAAATCACATAGTTAATCAGTTTAATTCTTCTGCTTCCCATGATGGGGGGGGGGGAATACAAGCAGCAGCAAAAAGTCTAGGGGCACCTTAAAGTTTTCTTCACTTAAACAGACCTCAACAAGAAGTCCCTCTCCCTGTTTAAAGGGACACCATCTCATACCGGATGTATAACGTGGCGGTGACACTCGAACAGGGTTGCAGCCAGGGGTATGACACGGCTTGCCCAGATCTGAGCCTGTGTGAATGCCAGCAGCTGTTCGTCTTAACAGGCTTTCCTAACAATGTGCCCTAGAAGTGGGAAGTCCAGGGTTGGGATATACCGTGTTTGGGTGTTTCATCGTTTTGCACCATCGGCAACAACCACAAATTGCTGTGGCATCGGGCTTCTGGCCATTGCTCGTCACTCGCTGCAAGAAGGACCGACTGATTAGCTCAGCAGCGGGCCCAGTGCCTTATGCACGATCTGGGTATGCTCAGGACAAAGGGCAAGGAGGAAACCAGGGTGAGGGTGTGCATCTGCTCATCCACGCGCCTGGGACGTGGAAGATCTGAGTTTTAAGCCCCTGCTCCAAATTGAGCCCTATAGCACTAGTCTGTTGACTGCTCTGGGGTGGTTCGTCTCATAGACCCAAAAGCCAGAGAGAACTATGGAGGGTCCTGAATACAGCAAGGTGCCTAGATCTCCTCCCTTTCCTCTACGTTTCAATTGTAGTCCTTTTTAGCACTCCTGGCTCAGCTGGGTTTTGAGCATCCCTCGCTTAAGTGCCAGGCTCCCCATCCCACACCAAGGTAGGGGCATATGCTTAACGTGGGGAGGCGATAAGGTGCCAAAAGCAGTGCCCTGCACTGCAGAAAATCTGCCTCTGTTGGTCCCACGCCTCTCTCTATTGCTGCCATGCCTGGGGACCAGTTTGAGGTGATGTCTTCAGTGGGTTTCCAGCAGGCGAGCTGAACTCCTGCACAACCGCTTTGCTGTGCGGCATTGCTGTTGAGACGCACAAGCTGGCAGGAAACTGGCTTTTTTGCTGCTTAATGCACAGAGTAGCGCCCTCCTAACCCAAATGCTCTGAATCGTGTCTCTCTGCTGGGGTTATTAATATTATTTTTCTTTAAATTTCATCCAGGAAGTAGTGCAAATGCATTGCTGGTAATCGTCTCAAACCCGGTCTGCTTCATAAAGAAACAGCAGCAACAAAAATTCCCTGTAGCTTAAAACCCTGTTACTAGCAACCATGAAGCTGAATAGCCTGTATTTAGAGCGTTTGCTCATTTGTATGCAAAATCAGCTGTTCTCGTAAGCTGCTATCATCTCGTCAGGGGCCCT